AGCTGCAAAATGAAAACAGATTTTCGCCACCATCCAGTTAGATCTGACTCACAAGGTAAAACTGCCCCTGTAGGTTTCCAAGACGCTCCGGCCATTGCAGTTAGAAGAGGAAATTCTATGTGCGTGAGGACAATGGGGTTTAACAATCCTAGTCAGTCATCCTCAGGTCGATTCCCACACACGCGACCCCCGTGGGTCAGAACAGAGCTGTGTACAGGAGGTTGTCAGTGGCTGTTTTCGGATGTAGATCACCAGGTCTTTCTTCCAAGGTGCCTTGGGGTGGACTTGAACTTCCAACAATGTAACTGTGACCTCACACTGGGGAGGAGGGCCCCCTGGGATGTGACGTCTCGTCAAGGAGGGGCTGCGCATCTGGTGCAGAACCCGTCAACCAGGAGAAGCGCTCCAGGACCAACTGACCTTGACGTCTGAACAGGATGTGCTTCTGAGGCCTTGCGAGCCCAGGCTCTCTCCTGAGCCAGAGCACCAGCTGCGGACCACCCTGCCTGTGACTCCTACCACCTGCTCAGAACGATGCTCCCACTGTAGGTGGGCACCAGAGAGGCCACCGCCGTTCCTCCCTCCCCCCACCACCACAGAGATGAGGCCCTTCCCCGCGAGTCCCCTCACCCTAGAACAGGTTCTCCCTGACGTTCTTCTCCCATGCGAATCACGTCCGAGTGAAATACCGTCTGTTGGCTCCTTTGCTTGCTGCCCCACAGCCAGCTCTATGAGGGGTGTGTGTGTGTGTGTGTGTGTGTGTGTGTGTGTGTGTGTGTCAGTGGCGGGGGCGACACGGACACAACCATGTCTATTTGGTTGGGTGGCTCACTACAAAGGCTGTAGTTCAACATCACCAGCAGCTCTCGGGGAGCAAGATGAGACTCAGTCTCAGAAACTCACCGGAGGCAGCTCTACCCTGTCCTGCAGGGTCGCTCCCAGGCAGAATCTGCTCGACGGCAGTGAGCTTGGTTCTGCACTGGCTGTTCCAGTGCCTGGGACAGTGTTTGGTCCTCAACATACCCGCAGTCAATAGTCGTCGAATGACTTCCTCTGTGGGGCACCCTGTCCTGGGAGCTTTTTCTAGTTCTGAAGGCCAGAGCTGGCTACTCGCTCCCTTCCAGCGGGGAGAGAGGGGGCAGTGGAAGCTGCAGAGAAAGGGCCTCATCCCACATCACAACATGGCTTGAGATCCCAGGGGAGCAGAGTGTCCTGTGGAAAATACGGAGAGTCCATGGTTCTGGGTTTGCTCGCTGGTCTTCGTGGTTGTCGGCTAGCGCTCTTTAAGATATGGGCAACTTGCTGGGCTTCTGTGTTCCTCAGTGGGCCCCAGGGGCCAATTTGGGAACCAGGGAAATCGACTCGTATTTTCTTCCTGAAGTGCCTTTCTGAGGCAAATTCCTTTTCTTGATGAGAGTCAGCTTTCCCGGCACCACCTGCTGTGGTGCCTGTTCCCATCTTTATGACTGTGTGGGCCCCAGCCAACGCGTCCTGTCCTTTCCTTTCCCTCCCTGACCTGCCTCCTCTCACTGAAAAGCTAGACGGCTTGACCTGAAATTCAACATGTTCTTGGTCCTTCTCAACCGGGACCTCCATGTGTGAGCACTACCTGGGAAGTACCCTGAAGATACTTCTTGATAAATGAGTCTCATGCAAAAAGAATAAGGTGACCAGATTTTAACATTGGTAAAGCGGGACACCATTGATAAAACTCATATCCTGGCAAAATAGCCACATGGCAGCCAAAAACTGTATACCCTAGTTTGTCGTGCATTCTTTCCAAAAAATCAGGGCTTTTTAAAAACGCCACGGGACGCGGGACAAATTTTTAAAAATCGGGACTGTCCGGCCAAAGGCGGGATGTCTGGTCACCTTACTCAAGAATCAACTGAAGATTCCCAGGGTCTTCACCCAAACGCTCTGTAAGGAAACAACAAACAAACCACTGCCATCAGGTTGATTCCGACTGATAGCGACGCTGTAGGGCAGGAGGGGGCTGCCCCTGTGGGTTTGCAAGACTTCTTATATCAGCAGGAAAGGTGGGAGACACGAAGAGCTACAGGGGGGACGGGTCAGTGGTCCTGCCAGGGAACGTCATCGCCACGTACACTCTAAGTGGCTAACCATCTGGGCATTGTTTCCCTCTGCTCACCCACACCCGGCTCGGCTCAGGCCGCAAGCCCATTTCCTGTGCATTCCAAGGCCAGGGCCCTAATCTACAATCTTGTGAAATGTTGCCCGACTTCAGTGTGGCGGCCAGCCTCTGTGAACATCTCCTTTGGACGGCCATGGTCAGAGAGCCAAGCCCTGAGAACAATCACTCCGGGAAGAGTGTTTGTCCTGAAAAAGCAAACCACCTTACAGAGGTTGGTGCTGGTCGCCACCCCCAACCCCGCAAGTTGGAAGCAGATTAGAGAATTTAATTTTCGTGTCTGGGATTTTGAAACGGGCAAAAATATGGAGATAAGGGCGAAGAGGACATTTCTGGGATCCTGACATGTGTTCATTTTCTCGCAGGAGGACAGGGATGGGGACAGGGTGGGGGGGCAGGGGTGGAGTGGGGGATAGGGGTGGGAGGTGAGGGGAAGTCCATTGGAACAGGATTTCTTTCCCAAGAACCCTTAATGGTGACAATAAAACCACTGCCATCAAGTCAAATCTCTCATAGGGACCCTATAGGACAGGGTAGAATTGCCCCTGTGGGTTTCTGAGACTGTAACTCTTTATGGGAGTAGAAAGCCTCATCTTTCTCCTGAGGAGCGGCTGGTGGTTTCAAACTGCTGACCTTGTGGTTAGCAGCCCAACGTGTAACCTTTATGCTGCCAGGCCCTGTCGATAATGAAAACATCGCCTTAGTATCCGATGTGAACCAGCGATGGCTGAAAGTGGTATTTTGGGAGGGTCCTGATGACTCTGAATTCAAAAACGGGATCTTCAAGGATGTCTTCGTCCCAGATCCCAGAGTGTAGTCTTCTACTGGAAGGCAGCACTCCCATTTTACCCATTCCCATTCGCTTTAAGTGGTAACACCACGGATTACCTGCTTTTCCAAACAGTTCCTGTTGGGCAGACAGTTCGTTTCAAAGCAACTCCTTAACTAGAGCTAGGACAACAAAGAGCCAACAGCTCTCTCTCTGGCCTCCCTGGTGAAGGTTTGAATTGGCAGTTTGATGGCCAAAAGGCTGAGAGGAAAGGCGGCTACTTCCCGAGTTCCTCCTGCCAGGGGAACGGAGCCCAAGGCAGTGCCGGCCCGTGGCATCGTTCCTCGTCCTGTCCCGGGTGTCTGTGATTGAAGACCCGCTTCTTGGACAACTCGGGGAGGCGACCGGAGGGCTGAGGGGAGGCTGGCTGGCACTTCTTTGCTATTCCAAGTCCAGGATGCCCACTCCTGTGTGCGGGCTTCACAGCCCTCACCGACTGGGGGGATCACACTCATCTCTTCCCTCACCCCAAAATAGAAGGCAAGCTGACATACTACTGAGGTCCCTGAAGATTTGACTTCTATACGAACCTTTCGTAATCAGGAATCTTCGAGGCGTGCCTGAGCTCTGACATGTAAAATTCCCGGATGCTGTCACTCCAGGCGGGAGGCAGATGGGCTTCTGCTCCGATCAAGAGGGAGTCTCGGAAAGTCCCAGGGGAAGTTCTCCCCTGTGCTGCCGGCGGCTGAGGCAGCACCGACTCGAAGGCAGCGAGGTTCTGGCTCATCACCGGAGCCAAGCCAGTCGGTTGTGGCCCCGTCAATTCTGACCTCTGGTGCTGGTGCTGCCGGAGAGGAGAATTGCTCCTTTCTCAGGGGTCAGCTGACCGGTAGCAGGCACTCAGGACATTTCTTCTGTGGTATTTGGAGGTGGGTTTGAACTGCCAACCTCCCAGTTAGCAGTCAGAAAACAAGCCAATTGGGCCACCCAGCGATGTCCATGGTGACACGCAAGTAACAAATGTGTACTGATTGATGGCTGCTATAAACGTCTCGCGGCAACAATCCGCACTGGCTCTTCCAGAAAGGGTGAGCTATCCCCTCAAAGGAAAGTCATTTCCAGGGAAAACCAAAAACCAAACCAAACCCAGAAAGCCAAACAGCTGCTCCTGAGTCCATTCTGACTCCTGGCCCCTCAAGGACAGGGTAGAACTGCCCTTGTGCGTTTCCAAGACTGTCACGCTTTACAGTAGTAGAAAGCCTCATCTTTCTCCCCGGAAGCAGCTGGTGGATTTGAACTGCTAACCACAAGGTTAGCAGGCTAATGCATAACCACACTACCACCAGGGCTCCTAAATCCCCAGGATGGAGATGCCACGAGATGGCTAGTGGCTGGGCACCTTGGCAAATGCGGCGTTCACGTTGCTCTCTCTCCTTTCAACACACCCAGGATCTGAGCACGTGCATGGGGGCGTCAAACCAAAGACAAGCCTTCCCTACCCAACCCCAAACAGCGAAAAGTGGCAGTGAAATTCCACAGGTGGGTCACCCTTCCCTACCCTCCCCCCACTCCATCTCCCTGACTTGTGGTTCGTGGCACCTTCCTGCCCCTGAGGCGGAAGCGCTAAGCTCAACTTCAGAGAAGAGAGGGGGTAGGCAGAGAATGAAAGGGACCCCTCTAAGCCTGGGCTGTTTGGACATGACCTCCGCAAGGTATTCACACCACTGGTTTTGAAACACCCCGCGTTCATCAGCCATAGAGCGGTGCGGCCAGGCGGGTTTCGGGGACAGGTCTGGGAAAGATAAAGACGAGCATCCCAGGCTGAGTGGACAGCCAGCTCCTGTCGAGGGTCGTTCTACATGGTTTCCCCTCTGGCTGGCCAAGGCAGGCAGGGAACCAGGCTCTCACAGCAGCAGCAAGCTGCCGGCGCTCCCCGTAGGGGTTGGAAGCTGAGGCCGGCCCTGCTTGTTGGGCTCACCATGCGCCTGCCGGCTTGGCTCGGAAGCTATTTTCATTCTCAAACCCAAGGCCCCTGGCTCCCCTCGCCCGAGGAGGGCTGTCCCCATGCACCCCACTCACCGTCATCTCTTCCGGGTTCCCGTTGGCTATTTCCACCACCCTGAGGGCAGGGTCCACCTTCACCTTGGCTCGGGTCATAAACTGGATGACAGAGGAACTGTCCTGTGGAGAAGACAGACCACTGGCTGTAAGACTGTCCCCACCTCGGCCATGGCTGGGCTCAGAGGAGGAGCTGAAACCCTAGGATGCAGTGCAGAACGACCAAAGGAGGAGACACACTTCACCACTTACCTAGATGCCTCTCTGTCAGGAGCACCTTTATGAAACATATCAACGCGTACAGCCGGAGAGTCATCCTTGACCCAAGGCAGGCCCGCGTGTGTCAGAGTAGGGTTGCGCTCAGTAGGATTTTCCGTGACTGATTTCTGGGAATTAGGTCACCAGGCCTTTCTTCAAAGGCACCTTGGGGTAGAACTCCACTCTGGGGACTCAGCTGAGCATGTTAATGGTTTGCACCACCCAGAGAGCCTATATAAAGCACAGACTTCCAGGTTTTTCCCTTGAGAATCCTTTCACACCATCCCCTCTGGGTGTGGGCCAGGGATGTGAACAGCTCTGCTACTGTGCAGAATGCATTAGAAAGTGGATGGTTGCTGCTGCAATTAGGGTAAAATTTAGCACCCTATCATTTGATCTCCCTTATGATCTGTTTAAATTTGCTTTACTTTTAAATATTTTCTGCTTCCTTTTCAATTGAGGTTTTCATCTGTTTCATTTGTTCTTGTTAGTTTTATTTTCAAATGTTTTTCTGTAGCTGAAATGCAGGATGAGTAAATCTCTAGAGACAGTAACTGGATGAATGGCTCCTTGGGGGTCTGGCAGGGGAGTTTAGGGGCATGGGG